CAGCCAAACCCCTCTGCACAGCTCAGCCCCGGCAGCACCCACAGAGCAGCATCTTCCCTTGTTCTGGGCACTCACAGACATCTCTCTGCACAATTCCACTGCCTCCCTCTCCTCACCCTGGGCTGGGGCACACAGAGCCCAGCTTGCTGTCACAGAGGGACTGGCCACTGCCACAGGGAGTTTAGTCCTGACAAGGAGTTTTGTAGCTGGCTGAGCCCATCTGAGCTGAGCCCAGGCCAGGAGAGCTCTTTTAGAGTGCTCATCACAGAGCACACACAGACACACCCTCTTCTTGCCTTAAACCTGTACCACAAAGCCCCTGTTTGCGCTCATTTTCTTGTCGGTGAAACAAATTAACCACCTGGTTTCCCACTGCATACCCTGTAGCTGGATAAGAACACCTCCCTGAGCCATGACTGGGATCCTGCCCACTGGCAGTGCCCCCCCAGTACCTGGTTCCTCATCCTGCAGCTTGGAGCCATGGCCCTCCATGCTGGAAGGGAAAGCATTGTTCTACTGCTTGTTTTTGCATTCTAAAAAAAAACAACTATAACACCAGGATAAAGGCCAGCCAAAGGCAGGCTGGGACCCCCATTGTAACCAGCAGCACAACAACTAGTTAACTGATTATCTCAACTACCCTGTTGGTTATGTCATATGTGATAAATCAAGACAAGACTTGCTCGATAAGGAAAAGCAAGTGAGGCTATTTTAAAATGAAAATCCAAAGGAATTTAGAGTGCTGGTGTGAGAGAGAAGAGCTGAGATTAGGAGGCGACATAAACACAAGCTGAAAGGGGCCACTCCAGAACTGTCCTCCCGCACCTTCAGCAGAGGAGGAACAACATCCCATGAGTTACCCAAAGCTGGTTTTTATTGGAGCAGCCTTGGCACCATCCAGGGCAGCACTGCAAAGTGCCTGGTTCAGCTGGGGCAGGTGAGACTCCACTGCCAGAGACCCCCCAGCCCTGCTCAGCCTCAGCTCCATCAGCCAGAAGGGTGGCTGCTCCTCCGGCCCCCAGCACAGATCTATCCCCCCTAATCCGATGCAGGACAGCCATTTGTTCAACATTTTAAACCCAACTTTGCCCACAGCCATAAGAACATGCTTGAGAGGGAATTAGCAGCAGCCACTCACGGTCTCAGTTAGTGCCTGCCGAGCTGTGTAACAGAAGATGCAGTTGTAGATGGTTCTTGTGATACTCAGAGCACTGGCACCATTAAAAACACAGCATTGAAAGCAGAAACTCCTCAGTACCTGTGTCTTAATGGGTTCCATCTCTTCTCCACCCACCTGCTGTGTCCCTGCTGGAGGGCAGCCCTGTCCTCAGGGGCCAACACCCCAGACCCAGGGGTCTGGTGGCAGCTGGTGCACGCCCAGCATCCCTGTGACTCAGGAGACAGGTGTCCAGAGCAAAAAGCAGCTCACAACTCACACTTAAGACAAAAAGAACTGTTGATTTTAGACCATGGGATGAAAGGCAGCCTCACACATCTGGTGTCACAGCTGAGCTCTGACGCCCTGCAGGGATTCCCAAAGAACAGGATTTCCACCAGGACAGCCCAGGCTCTGCTCTGTGACCCCACACTTGCCCCCTTCAGCTCATGGCTGCAGAGGTGGCAGCACCCACCTGCCCTCAGCCCAGCAGAGTAGAGCACCCACAGCATCCCACCAGGAGAAGGTCTCCAACTCCTCTCCCAGCACTTACAACAGAGACCAGGATGCAGAGAGGTTGGGTGGTTGTGTATCACAGGGGCATGAATCTGATATTCATAGACTTTCTCTGTCTTTTAAAGGGCAAGACTCTTTGAATAGAAACAATTTAAGACAACATCTTGAAAGATAAATGAATGTTCTTCTGTACTTCCTCACTGAAATTTAATTTTAATTGATATTAAACATGACAGAGCTTCTACTCAAACTTGTATTTGCCAGCCATGACTTCCACTGCCACCACAGCCCTGCCCTCAGCATCCTCTGTGCTCCTTAGTCCTTCAGGGCTGAAGGACCAGCCTAAACCCAAGAGCCCCCCTGACCCTTGCAGGAGGCAGGACACCAGCCCCAGACCCGAGGCAATGGTGGGGGGAGCAATGGTAACTACAGGGGGAAAATCATCACCAGGTCTCCTACAAATGTTCTCAAAATGAAAGATTTGGATCCCAGTGCAGCTGGGCACAAATTCCAGCAGGTGTCCATGGATGCCAGCTCACATCTGGATGTGTGGAGGAGCACTGAAGGGAGCAGCACCCACTCCAAGCACTGGAGCGAAGCAAGCATTTCATGGAATGTTTGGGTTGGAAGGGACCTTAAAGCTCATCTCATCCCACCCCCTGCCATGGGCAGGGACACCTTCCACTATCCCACATCGCTCCAAGCCCTGTCCAGCCTGGCCTTGGACACTTCCAGGGATGGGACAGCCACAGCTTCTCTGGGCAACCTGTGCCAGTGTTTTACCACTTGCAGTAAAAAAACTTCCATAGCATGTCTTGGGAAAGTTCTGTCCTGCAGAGCACATGGAGGGACCGGAGCAGCCCTGAGCAGGCATCTCCTGCTCTCCCCCTGCCGTGTATGTGACTCTCCACTTTTACACAGTGTCCCATTCACAGCCTTAACATGCTCGGAAATACATTTATTTATAGCATCTACAGTGCAACAGAATATTCTCCTCCCTCTTCTTGCTACTCGAGACATTTACTACCTGCACGTTGCCCACTGCGTGGGTGCACATTCTCCTCCTCCCACGCCTGGGACACCAGAGCCCTGTGCCCGGGGCACAGCACAGCCCAGCCTAAAGACAGCCAGTGACTCATGCCATCAGAAATCCCACCCGGAGCCAGGGGCAGGGGAGCCCCCACTGCCCCCAGCACTGCACTGCTGTTCCCTGCACACCCTGGGGAGGGGCAGCCAGCTGAGCCCCCCGACCACGGGCAGGGCAGGCACCCAGCCCCTCCCTCCTGGGCAAAGCCTTCCAGGTGGGACAGGCCAGGAAAATCAGCGGAGCCTCCTGTCTCACTTCCCCTGTCCAGGCCAGCCCTGCAGAGCAGCTGTGCCTCCTAAATTCGGCGCTGGCTCCTGGCCAAGGCCTTGCCCTGCCCACAGATCCGCACGCACTCAGCTCTGCTCGCTCCAGAGCACATTCCTGGGCTCCCAGACTGCGGAAAACAGCTGATTTTGCGAAAACATCCTTCACAATCTGTCCTGAAGAGCTGAGCCATCGAGCAGTTGGGGCCACAGGGCTCTGACAGAGGACACAGCCAGGAGGGAACAGGTCTGGCCTTGGAGCTGCTGCCCAAAGCTTTGGAGCGTGGAGAGGTTTTATCTCCACCACCAGCCCACCCTGGGTTTGGGCTCTTCCAGCCGCCGTGTAGAAGCAGAGGGAGGTGCAGGGATATGGAACCAGTGCTGCCAAAGGGTTTTCTAGTATCCTTTTGCCCAGGACGGGGGCATTTCTCTCCAGAAACAACCTGCCCAGATCTACACCCACAGCCCCACGGTCATATCCCTTTCCAGAGTTTGTCCCCTCTCCATAGGTGCCCCCTGTGCCTTTGCAGGATCCCATGAGTTCACATTGTTACTTGCCCACCACAGTTCTGCCCTTTCTCTCCCCACAGGAGTCAGGGAGGTCCCTGAAAAGCTGCATTCACCTCAGTTTCAGATGTACCACACCCCAGAGCATCACCACATCAGCTTCCACTAGAGCTGAAATGCCAACAAAAACAGCTTCCAGATCAAGGCACCAACCTGACACCAGAAACAAATACTGAAAAAAAGGAGTTTGAGAAGCCTGGCAGCCTTGGACCTGCAGTCACACTCAGCCAGGCCCTTGCTATCACAAACTCTAGAGGAAAAATGAACACATCTGGACTCCTCTGAACACCACATTGGACTTCTCAGCTCAGTGAAAGATCCCAATCCCATTTTTACACTATTATATCAAAGGTCTGGAACAGCCCCATCACAGTGGTGAAAGCTGAACGCTCCAGGCATGCAGCCACATGGGTTTGATAAAGACAGCACTGCCCAGGCACTGATGTTATTGGAAGGCAGCAGAGCCTTTTGCCTTAAAATATTTCCCCCCCAGTGCCAGCTGAGCACAAGGGCTCTGAAGCAGCTGCTTCCACACTCAGTAGCTTCGGGCACCTCAGGCTCCTTAAGGAGTCTTGTCCATCCCTCCCTCTCTACCTGTCCTTAAGGACCTAAACATCCTTCCCTCTCTACCCCTATTTTGTGGTTTTTTTCACAAAACCATTACTCTTAAACAAATCTTCAGTTCATGAAAGCCAAGAGCACACAGAAGACATTGAGAATTATTAGTAAAATACAACCCAAGCTGTATCTTCATTAGCATGCTAATTGTCACTGTGGGCAGTGTCCATGGAGGAGGTGTCCTGACCACTATGGATCTGTGGGTTGATGTCTTGTATTTCCTCAAGTTTCTCTGGTTGAAAAAGCTGGAAACAGAGGCATCCAAGGTGACACCACAAGCCTTCTCCTGGGCTCCAGAGGGACCACAAGCCTCACTGGCCATTCCAGGACAATGTGGCTTCTCTGGGCAATATTTATAGACAAGATTCCTGTCTCCCTGAGCTCCTTCATTTACAGGTTTGTAAACAATTTTCCTCAAACAACACTTTCTCTCAGGCTTTTGAGGGCTTTTGTCCCAGTTTGGTCACCTTTACTCCTACACAAGGAGAAAATCCCACTGGCACAGCTGGGCAGGGGGTCTGCATACCCGCCCCCAGTGCCACCCCCGCCGTGGCTCAAAGGCCACCAGCCACCCCCACACATGCCATCCCCCTGAGGTGGCAGCGGGGGCTGTCCCCAGCCAAGCCCCTTTAAGGGACACTTCAGGGCGGCCGCAGGAGCCATGACATTAATTTTAGCCTGGAGCAGGGCCAGGGGTGCAGGGCAGCTGCTGCGGGCGGCGGGGGGGCAGTGCCTCCCACCCTGCCCTGGCCGGGGCCTCCCCCGGCACAGCCCCAGCTCCCTGCGGAGGCTCCGGAGCAGAGCGGGCACGGGACAGCATGGCAGAGGAACGGACCGAGCTGGAGGAGAGGATCATCATCAAGGACCAGCACACCAAGGAGATCGACCTGGTGAACAGAGACCCCAAGCACATCAACGAGGACGTGGTGAAGGTAGGGCTGTCCCCCACGGGGCTGGAGAGTGGCACTGGAACCGGGATTGAGGTTTCAAATGTTGGTCTGTGTGTGGCTCGACCTCAGACAGGGCTGTCAGTCCTTGTCCACGTGCCCCGAGAGGTGCCATCCCCGGGGCTACTAGAAGGTAACAGCCCTACTGCCTGGGCACCCAGATGCCAGGTGGGTGGCACGTGGGCTCCAATTAATGCCGTATTTCCCATTCCTTGAATGTGCTCTCCAGTTTTACAGAGACACCCTCCTTTGTACCAGTAAGTAGAGAGCCAAAAATAACACAGAAGTTAAATATCAGTGATTAAAGGGGAACGCTGGAAAAAGGCTGCTGGTCATCAAGACACAACAGTCTCAGTACCAGCATTTGATGCATGTTGTCCTGTTTGCGGGAGGCTGTTCCCCCCCAGGGAAGCCCAGGGGTGCAGCAGTTCCCCAGATCCCTCCCTCTTTTGCTGACCAAGAGGAACTCCCATTCCAACTCCTGGTCTTCCTCTAAGCTCTGTTAGAATTGTGTCACAGATAATTCCAGCCCAAAGGAGAACAGGAGGAGGTGGAAGGGTTTTGTTAAAGCTGTGTTTGAGAGGTTGAAGCGGATGTCACACCAGCAGGGACAGCATGCACCGAGCTGCCCACACAGGCTTTGACCTTGACTGCACTGGTGCAACACAAACCTGCATTTGGGCATTAGAACCCTGTCACAGCTACAACAATGGTGTGCTCAAATTAAATCCCTCTGGATGAGCTGTGACAGTGACAGCCATCCACAGGCACCCCCCTGGCACCGCGAGCCGTGCCCACGGCAGCTGCCCGACACCTCGGGATCCCGAGCACATTCCCAGCAGACTGTCCCACATCTGTGCTGCTCCGTGCCACTGCATCCCACAGCCTTGGCCCGGGACTTGGAAAGGTGCCAGGCAAAGGGAGCACCACCCTGTTGTGAGCAGGACAGCCCTCAGCCGCCCCCCCCAGGGCCAGGCAGAGCTTTGGGACACACACCTACAGCCCAGCTTGGACACACCACTGGCTACTACTGGGGAGCAAGGCAGCACCTTCCTGACCATCCGTAGTCCTCCCACCTCTTCCAGCCTCTTTACCCCACCCCACCCCTGCCTTTTCCCACTCAAGGATCTCTGAAGTCACAAAACCCCTTTCAAGCTCACACACTCACATGGCCACACTGCTGCCCCCTCAGCACTGGAAGTTTTCAGAGCTCAGGCTCCCCAGCATTCCTCCACCATAAAACAGCCCAGCCAGTGTGGCTGGGGAGGGAGGGCAGAGCCAGCCCCAGGACAGGAGCACAGCTCAGCCCACTGCTGCTCCACAGCATCCCAAAGGACAGCCAGGGCTTCCTCGCTCCCCTGCAGGCAGGGGCACACTCCAAACACCCACATGGATACCATGGCACACCTGGAGCACAGCAGGCAGGGAGGCAGGCAGCAGGAGAGCAGGGAGATGAAGGGCTCACCTGGTCGTGGATAAACACCTTGAGCATCACGGAGCACCAAGCAGAATTTGGGACTGTTACCATGGTGGCATCAGCCAGAGAGGCTTTGCAGAGCTTCACAAGCCTCTTCCAAGCACAGCAACAGAGCAAACCATGGCTGGACTTGGTGACCTTAAAGGAGCTTTTCCACCCTAAATGATTCCATGATTCTGTAAAGGAGTGGTACCTTGTGTGTGCTGGCCCCTGAGAACCTCCAGGCAGTGCCCAGGATCCAGGGCTGTCGGAGCCTCAGCCTCCACTGCTCCTCCAGACCCACTCCCAGTGCAATGCCAGCAGAAGGGGCACTGCTGCAGAGCCTCTGCTCTTATATCCCACTGTTCCCTGTGTTAATTGATCCCTAATGAGCTTGTCAGGCAGCTGGGCAGTGACCTGGGCTAGTCTCCAGCACACCTGGGCTTTCTGGGGCTGCTGACAGCACTCCAGGACCAGCGGTTTGGGCTGCTGATTCCTCATCCACCCCAATGCTTCTCCCAGCTCCAAGAAATTAAAGATGATGCGGAGTGATTT